CAAAATCAGGCCTTGGAGTCGCGTCCGCCAAAGTGTAACGAATATATTAAAACCAGAATTATTAGAAAATATTGCTTCTTTGCTTCAATATCTTGGAAAAAAGTCATGCTAGAATCATCGCCCTGTCCTCGTCTCTCCTGCAATTGTTGTATCGCCCTCTTTGTTCTTTGTTCTGGAGTTTCCTACTTTTTCCGCAACTGTCGCTGAAGTTAATTCGGAGTCCTGTTCTGACTCCTGCGCACCCTTAACGAAACCTCGGACAGTATTTTCGCTAAGGAAAAAGTTGTTTCAAATCACCTCCCGAACCACCCCTTTCAAGGTGTTACAACATTTTTGGGACACTTTGTATATCGGAATATTCGTATACTAGGGACACCGGACTGCGACGCCCCCAAAAATCTGGCGCCCCGGGCGGTGGCCCGACCGCCCCCCCCCCCATGCCGGCCCTGGTTATGATAAGCATTATTTACAATAAACAGTTAAAATTAACAATTAATAAAGCAAAATATATATACTACAGGCTTAACGACTAAGTTTCATTGTTACTTTGCTCTCATGTGACATAGATGATTTTATCTTTGCTACAAAGCATTTATCTGAAGCCGTGTTTATAGACAAATGTAGATTATGCCACATCATGTTCGGGCGAATGTTTACTGTGTGAATCGTGAGTGCGGGTTAAATAATACAATTTATAGAACTTCATCACTTAAACTTATAAACAATATGTGATTTATAATATATAAATAATAGTTAAAATAACAATTAATAGTTGTGAGAATCCTCGAAAATTAAATGAAAATGAATTTAGTACTGGCTTTAAAATTTTATATTACACAAATGACGGAAGAAAGTGGGCCTGGTATGAAAGTTCTTTTGATGGATAAGGAGACGGTAAATATTTAATAAATTGCATATTCAAATGAAATAAAATTAAGAAAACGTTATAAAAGTATTTGTCCAGTTTGTATGTATCAAAAGTTAAATGTATTTTATTAGTTATCGAAGAAAATCGTAAACACTAATACATACCATGTTGGAAATTTTAATGTGTTAATAAATAACGAAAATGTTTAGTTCTTATGGTTGGCTCATTTTCAAATGTTTAAAGGATAATTAGAAAATATTTAATAATACATAAGAAGTTAATTAAATTACAATCCTGAAGACCACGAAATCGTGAATTATAATAATATGTATTCTTTGAATCATTGTAAATTTATTGAAATTTTTGGTTAACATGTATAGTGAGTACCTTTAATATTCGGACACTATGAGAATTTTACTTTGTGTTTTGTAACATTTGTACATCGTAACTTCGTTACTAACAAAACAAACAAAAAACATAATCAAATATTATATTAACGTGTATGTCTGATTTATGATAGTATTAGTTTTATTTACATAACTCATAATAGTTGTTAAATAACACGATTTAAATAAAACATTGTGTGATTTTTCTGTACTTTAATATTCTAACACTGTTAGAAACTATTTATTTTTAGGCTAATTTTTATAATAATATGTGTTTTAATATGTTGCTGGGTAGCCATCCTGTTTTATCACTTCTTTTAAACATTGCAGCATATTGGTAATGATTCTTTTTAAATTTTCAGTACTTATATTGTCTCATTCTTTTTTTAACCGATGTTTCAACATTTCTTTTGAATGTATTGTAATTGTTCTGATAAGTCGCCCTAGTTTATCTCACAAATTTTCTATAGGGTTGAGGTCTGGTGATTGAGGTGATGATTGTTAAACTTTTGGACAATTATACAGAAAATTTTCCTGCATGATGCATGCCTTATGCTTAAGGTTATTGCTCTGGTAAACCTTAAACGTGTTTAAAATTCTCATTTGTGTAGCACTTTTCGGTAAATTATTTTTTAATATGTTCAAATACACATTTTTGTCCATAATATTGTCAATAAAAACTAATTCGCCAAGTCCAAATGTGGATATACAGCTCCAGACAAATATACTGCCACCTCCGTACTTTACAGTCAGCCTTAGATTTTTAAATTTAAATTCTCTATTTTTTTTATGACACACTGTTTTTTGTTCATCTGATCCAAAAATTGTTAATTTGCTTTCGTCTATATAAATGACGTCGTTCCACCATGTTTTTTCCTTTAAAACAAATTATTTAGCAACATTTTAATTTAATCTTTCCTTTCGATTCTATTCATTCACATATGGTTTCGTCCTAGCCACTCTTCCAATATAGCCTCCATCTTTTGAGGCACTGCAGATCGTTTAGGGATGTACCTTCTATCCAGTCTCATTTAAAAGCTCAGTCGCTAATTTTTGGTGCACTGAGTAAAGAATCCTTTTTTATTTTTCTTATTAGTTTCCCCTTATCATGTGCATCCAACTTCTTTGGTTGGCCCTTTTGGGGTATAAAGTCTATATGGTCCTTAAATTTAAACCGTTTGATGATATCTGCCACTGTACTCTTACTTACGTTGAGCATGGCAACAATTTGTCTACATGATTTGCCCTTTGCATTATGAAAAATCACTAATTGTCGTATATTAAAAGTGGTATTATTTTTGCATGGCATTATACACATGTATGATTATCCAAGAGTAACTAATAAAATAAGGCTTATTAGTATCATCCAAACAGTTGACTCGTTCTAACTCGAAGTAATTCAGCATAAACACTCAAAAAAGGTGTTACCAAGTGTCCGAATATTAAAGTAACGCGAAATCGGACACTGTTTTATTTAAATCGTGTTATTCAACAACTATTGTAAATTATGTAAGTAGAACTTATACTATTGTTTACTAGACATATACATTAATATAATACTTGATCATGCTTGTTGTTTGTTTTATTAGAAACGATGTTATGATGTAACAAAGTAAAAATCTCATAGTGTCTGAATATTAAAGTTACTCACTATGGTTTCTTTTTGTTATAAATGGTTTAAACTTAAGCTGGTGATCACCATTAAGAAATTTGAAATACAATTTAAAAAATTTAAATCAAAAACATAATTCCGATATTATGTTTACTTAATAAAGAAATTTTTAATGTAGAATATTCTATGAAATAGAATTTACTATACATTACACAAGTATAGTTATTCAAGTCATAGTGAATGAACTACAAAGAACAATTATATGAAAAATGAACTACAAACGATAAATTATAGATAGAAATATTAATATCTACGATGATAACAATACCAAACAACAGTTAATATTTCCTAAGACAATGATATACTTTTCGTTCAATTCACTAGTAAATAAATGCTCGATTATTAATTGTTCTGGAACATCAATTTCTAATATTATCCTCAGCTTTTTATATTTAAATAATAAGTTTAATGTTAAAACTGTATGATTGCAAAAATAAACATACAATCCTTAGTATTATTAAGAAAATCAGAAATAATATCTACAATATACTTAGAAAATATAGAAGCGAGTTTCATAATTCACTAAATATAATAAAATCTTAATTAGCATTAAAATAACAGCATCTATAACCAAAAATTCCTTCAATAACAAATTATATACTTTTGAATACAACAAAGCTTGTTTTTACATTGAATGCTAAATATTGTATTAATATGGAATGGATAATATGAATACAGTATAACATCAAACTTTACATGTAAATATATAAAAATAAGTAATTCATAATTTTCATTGTTATATGAAGTATATACAGTGAATCATTAAAATATAGGGATACTAAGATGTGTTTAACTTTGAAATTGTTGCTTTTTATAAATTACGTATTGTTCTTGCAAGTACGTAAAAATTATTGATTTATATTAATATGTTTATATGATATTAAGCATTAAACAGAATCACATCCAAATTATAAATTACAAAAATATTTGGATAGTCCCTTCATTTCCCTATATAATTTCAAATAGTGTTTGTTGGTTCTCTTGGTAATGTTTAATTCGAGATACAATGTTTGTATACGAACACGCTGTAACGAATTTGGTATTAACAATAAGTAGCCACTATTATCCAAAGATAGAAACGTTTTTTTTAATTTATTTTATTCGTTCTCTGATAAATAGAAATTTTTTGTTGAGAAGAATATTGCCAAATCACTGCCATACTTAATTTAAAGAAAAAGCACAATAGTGGATGTACTTAGTAAGTAGAAAAGTAGTCGATGACTACTTACGAAGTGGTAAGTGAAAGAGAAAAACCTAAAATTCTTTGAAAAATGAATGAAAACTCCCAACTGAGTGCACCCACATTAGGAGTAGAAATTCAGGAAGAAAGTGAGAAAGATATGACTACACAAATAGTTCGTAGGTTGTTAAATGAAAATGATTATGATGAATGTGTAGCTATTTAGAAATCGCATATCAATAAAACGAAGAGGAAGAAACGTTTAATTTTTATAAAAAATATGATTTCGAAAGAAGAGTCATAGTGGAGTGATGTTATTTTTGGTGGTGAATTACAATTCAACATATCTGAATTTATTGGATGACACATGGATTGGCATAAGTCTAATACATCTTTAAATTCAAAGAACTTTCGATTTACTATCAAGCACAGTGGAGGAAATGCAATGATCTGAGGATGCACATCAAGTAGAAGAGTAGGGAAACTTGTTTTTATTGAAGATATTTTGTATAAGAACCAATACTTTCATACTTAAAAATAATATTTAAAGCCCAGTGTATTCAGCATGGGTATTAACCAAAGCTTCATATTATATGGATTAATATTAAGACAACATTAATACACCAATTAAAAATAAAGAATTATAAATTAGATTACAAGAAGGACGAATGGAAATAAGTTCTCAATATTTAGTAAAAATTATATTTAATGTATTCAAACATATAAAAGATGTAATGAAACACGAACGACATGTTACCATGTATTAAAAACAAAAATATAGTTTTAAATATTTTAGAATTAGGATACTGTCCAAATATTTTTGTAACACAAGAAGTGACAATAATTTCGTTGAATTTATAATATTATTTATTTATTTTATATTACATAAGTGAATCAAATATATTTGGGAAATGCAATAAATATTGTATCCATAGAAATAAGTTATAGTTCATATTTTCTGTAATCAATAAAGTTTTTTTTTTTTTTTTTTTGGGTGGATGGCTGGGCGGGTGGGTGGAAAAACCTTCATAGGCACCGGGCGCCGGTGGACGATGCCAGCACGCGGTAGTGTGAGATTTCTACTCACTAAAAAACCACCTGCTTCCCACGTTAGCCCCCCGGACCAGACTTGCTTTCGCATAACAACAGTCCGGGGGCGTGGCAACTAGGCCCCGCTAGGGCCTCCGCCGGTCGGATAGTAGCGAAGCTAGGGGGAGCCCGGAGTATCATCCAGGCATCCTTCCTCTCTCTTGCGACGCTGCACACGCTCCACGTAGTGCGCGATCGCTTCCCATTCGGTCGGCCCCCGCAGCATCACCCCCACGTGATCTAATATCAATAAAGATATTAACTTGCTTATATTATAAATTAATTTTATCATCTTTCATGTTCATTATAGTATGTTATGAGTTATCAACACCATTTGCAGATAAACTGATAGGTCAAGATAGTATAGTTTTTGGTAAATTATTCTTTATTAACTGTGTTTATCATTTGTTGCTCCTGAATAATAATTTTTTGAAAGTACGTGTTATAGTCTTACCTCGCTTCGTGTGTAAGGAATACAAAAAAAAAACGAAACATAGAGAATCCTTGTTTCTACTGTTTATTAAAGGGAAAAAAGCAAAGAAAGAATAGTGCAGTTTATAAAAGAAAATTTAGCAGAACAGAATAATACAGACCACACATAGTGCAGACCACCATTTTACAATACAAAAACAAAGGAGAGAGAAAAAAAAATGCACATCGCACACACCAAACTCGCGCATTCATCTGCGCATAAACGCG